GGCATGACGTCAGCGGAAGTCCCTATTGACTATTGTTTTGTATTACTTAAAGTAGTCCCAGTAAAAAAGATTATGTCTATGGGTCCCATTCTGAACGGCCCTGTCAAAGGGACCCACCAGGTAACAAAAACATGTGTGTGTGCGTGTTAGAGTTCAACTGCCAACCGCCGGAAAAAGCTTTGAGATAACTTATCAGGAGAACTCTGGTTAATAGTTGACACACATCAGGGCATGGCACAATGGACACACACTCTATATGCACACACTATACGTGTGCACACACACACACACACACTATACATGTACACATACACAACATGTACGCAAACAATATGTACACACACACACAAGCATTCACATTTTACTTGTTTTTTTTTGTTCCATAATTGAAACATATTGGATAAATAATTCTCTGTAGTTTTAATGAATATTGTTTTTTTTCTTGTAATGGAACAGCTTGTATTGACACAGAAGGCTGGGTTTTGTTGACTCATTTAAAGATTTATTTTCAAATGTTATTATTCCCAATGCCTTTTGGATTAAAAGTGGTGCAGTGGTTAGCGCTTGTGCTTCAGAGCAAGAAGGTTCTGGGTTCGATTCCACCTCCAGACCTGTCTGTGTGGAGTTCCTGCAGGTGCTTCTGTTCCCCTACCACTAAAACAATGACAATAGGTCTGGCAGGTGCCTCCTGTACGATGACCCTGCTCCCAGGAGTGGAGTGAAAGACAACTGCCCACTATTGTAAAGCGCCACGTGACTCTGTCTGTGAATGGTGCTATATAAATACATTTTACTTAATCTGTAGTGTACAATCCATGATGTGTGTTTTTAAGAAAAGAAACTTTATTGATCTCACAATGGAGACATTTACACACACATTTGGCATTCCTAGCTTGCAAAAATACAGGAAGGGAAAAATCATGTTAAAAAGGTTCAAATATAGTCTCTTTTGTGCAAGATATATTATGTACAATAAAAAAATAAAAGTGACAATAGCACTGCAAGTTTTTCGGTCCTTGTGCATGTCATTAAAGTGACTTATTGTACAGTCTGACAGCGTGGGGATAAAGGCCCTGCAATAGCGCTCCTTCTTGCACTGAGGGTGTCTCAGGCTTCCACTGAAGGAGCTCCTCAGCTCCTCTACAGTCCTGTGCAGTGGGAGGTGTTGTCCATGATGGAGGTGACTTTGACTAGCACCCTCCTGTCCCTCACCTCCTCCACAGAGTCCAGGGGGTAGCCCAGAGTGGAGCTGGCCCTCCTGACCAGCTTGTGCTGCCCGGGCCCAGCACACAGGCCATCAAAGAGTCAGAACCAAAGCACAGAACCAAAGTGGTTAAAATATTGGTTAAATTCATCTGCCCGGTGCTGGTATCCATCAGCTGTTCCTCTGTCAAAATCCGGAGATGTTCTGAAGACCTCTCTACACCAATGGTGTAGGTTTGGTTCCAATCTTGGTGGGGACATTCACTAAGACCTGAGTCTACACCCATTGACACGGGGTCCAGAGTTTCTCCCCCAGAATTTGTTGTGTAATCACACACTATATTTGCAATAGTGTGTTGCCTTCTATACTAAACTCAGCTGTAGACTGAATGAGAAGCAGTTAAGGATTTTTTCTAATAGTTAAAACAAAATAAATTGGATCAGAGCTTCTGAGTTTTGTGTTGCGTTCATTCTATACTGACTTAAACCTAATCCAAACCTACATAATAGCCCTCACCTGAGGCTCTAACAGTTCAGGAACTGCTCTCGATACTTGAAATAAATCATGCTCTGATCTTTCAATTTCCTATAATAAATAAAAACAGAGGAGAAAATATTGAATTAGAATCTACAGTGAGTATCTCACTACATTGTTTGACATATACGATCAATCTCTAAAAACAATTCATAGTCCCATGCATACCTACAAAATTCCAACCTCACCTGATGCACTGAAGGGCCTGTTGCTTCTACCTCAACATTCCTTATATTGTTCTCTCTTGTTGGTTGAGTTTCCTATGTATGTTAACAGAAGATTAATCATCACAATTCATAATTTGCTATTACTTGTGCTTTCTCTTACTTACTTTCCAACTGTTAAAAAAGCTCCTGATATCTTTTATCTTATTTTGTGGAGGTGGCATTTTTTCTAAATTATATAAGAAGGTATAGACAATCAAAAACAGACATTCATATACATGAACTGCAGAATCATTTATATAACTTGGCCAATGTCAAAAGTTACATAGTATTTCTCAATACAATGAGTTAACAAGAGTTTGGCAATAAGTAACAGTGTGGATTTTTCTATATTTTCTTTTTTTTAATTCCACTCTCAACCCAAAAAGGCAAGTAAGGACTCACAGGGCTCTCAAGTATGCAAAGTAAAAACTTAAATGACCTGTTGTGGTGTGTTTTGCGCACAACCAGCATGCATCGTTAAGGCAATGGAAAATTTAGGTATCCGAGCTTTAATTTCGGGAGCGCTGGTTGCGCTTTGGGAAGAGTCAGGGGAGAGACATGTCAGAGACACAGGGGAGAAACGGGGGAGATACGAGGGAGACCCGCACTTGCAACATGGTTCTGTCTGCATATGGTCCGAGCTCGGTACCATGTTAGAGCTGTGCTTTCACTGAGCGCCGCGGCTGTCATTACAAAGCGGCAGCAGCTGCACCAGGACGTGCACATTCGAGTGCATCGCTTGAATGTGCTTAGAGCAAATAACAGCAAGTGCCCGCTGTCACACATTTCACAGAAATTACATTATCAGCAGATAAAGGTTGTAAATCGTGGATCCGTGGAATATTTTCATCCCTAGTTTATCCTGATTCACACAACACACCCACTTATACATTTTGGATAGTAAGAGCACAATAAGTATTTTTTCAGCCTTTCAACCAACCTGTTTCTTTATTGGAGCCAGTTCTGTTCTGTCTCTGTGCCGTGTGAGCTCCTCGGAACATTAAACAGTGCGCTGACAGATTAGAAATAACGTAAGTACTTTGAATGGTAATAGATCCACAGTACTTTCCTCTGATTACTCACGTGCTACAACGCTCAGGGAACGAAAAAATAACCCTTGCTTCACGCTGGCTAACCTTTAAAAATTAAACAGTCGCTCAGTGCTTCAGTTTGGCGCTGAAGAAGACAGCCAATCACTGCAGAGAACGGAACGGGTCACGTGCTGCTGCTGCTGCTGTTGCTCTGGAGGCGAGGAGGAGGCGCGACGTATGCACAAACGGAAGACATGTGTCCCGGACCGTCCGGGTCAAGGGACATCATGTCATTTTGGTGGGGACTTTTTAGTCCTCACCAAATATTGGTGGGGACATGTCCCCATGGTCCCCATGCAAACCTATGCCCTTGCTCTACACATCACAGTTATATCCCTGTGCCAACTTCTGCTCTAGCTTTTCCTCATTGTTCTTTTTTGTTTTCCTGATCCTCCACTGGAGCACGTGCTGGATCCTCTTTTGCTCCTCTTTGCTTGAGGTTCAGGAAAGCTTTAAGCTCAAGGGTGACTGTTACTCCTGTAATTTACAGTCAATCCTGACCAAATCACAAACACAAAAGAAATAGTTCGGAATTTTTAATACTTGGTTGCATTCCAAGGAGAAGTGATTTCCAAACCAGAGACAGAGCAGAAAGCTGCTCTCTTTTGTTTTCAAAATCAGATCACCTCAGACAAAGCTGAAACTTCTTTTTGCTAGGCTAAGCCCAGCCCACTTTAATACAGTACATACAGTTTTAAAGCAGCACCTTTGGTATTTGGCATTTCAATAGTACAGAACAGGAGAAGTGGCAGAGACAATAGCATTCCCACAACGCCCTCTTCAAACAATCTGGCCGTAGCCAACAGTGAATTCAGTATGTATTTTTGCCACATGCGATTTTCTAAAATTATAACTTAAATATAATTTCAATGTCAGTCACCTATGGGTAGTACTTGGAAAAACACTGTACCTTCCCGGTCGGTACAGTGTTATCCACACAGAAGAGAATATAGTCTGTCATGCAGTGTGTCAGGCTTTCGATGTCATCTCCATGAAAGCTGCAGATCATGTCCGAGTCTGTGGACTGAAAACAGTCCCTCCTCTGACTCTTCAGTCCATACTGTAACATTCTTCTTCTGTGCTCGCTGTCTTCCCACCTGGGGTGAGTATTCCGGGCGCAGCAGGACCAGGTTGTGGTCAGTGGTCACGTAACGTACTGCGTGAATGTAGGGAGAGTCTCCACTGTTCAAAATGAGAGTGCTAGTTTTGGGTCTGGATCTGGGTCACAGTGCTGTGGATGCGTACACACACGGCAGCGGCTGCAGCTGAGGGAGGGTTGTACAAATATAAAACCACAGTGTGAAAAAAAGCTCCCGCAGAAAATATCTGGGCCTCATATTCAGAACAATCAGCTCCAGGTCCCGGAGAAGAGAGCCGGGTTCCACCAGTCCTCATTCACGTATACCGCGACTCCCCCGCCCTTCTTCTTTCCACTCCCTGCACACACCGGTGTGCACGCACACTTTTAAATCCCTCCGGAGAGACCACAGCGTCCGGTAAATTCCCACACGACCACGTCTCAGAGAAACACATGAGTTCCCACTCCAGATTTTCCATCTGATGGCGGGCAAGCATGGCCAGCTCCTCAGTCCTGTTAGAGATAGACCACACGTGGCTATCGGCCACCTTTGCAGCCTGTGCGTCTTCTGTGTCTCCTGGATATCTCTGTGTGGATCACCGGCTTCACCGAGTGCAGGAGAGCAGAGTCTCTAAGTCCAAAAAGCTGCTCCCGTGTGTTCTTGTGCGCCACTGTTCCTTTACGCGGATAAATCCGAAAGTGCCACAAACATGATAAGTTCAGGGAGAAGTCCAAGCAGACTAGGCTTCCCATGTGCACAAATGCACAATGCCTACTTTAATGAAAAATAATATGAAAACATATCTACAAGAAATAAATAGATATACGGTTAGAAAGAGGGAATAGCCAAAGTGACTAGCTCAGATGAATCATCTTAATAACTAGGTATGACCTGCGCTGGCAGCTCATACTCAGGTGAGTCCATAGAGTCTTGGGGCTACTTAATCAATCTTGAGACACATTTTCAATATCACAAAATCCATATTTTGGCTCACCCATACCCTTTTTGTTTACCATTTTTGTTCCACAGTTCTGAAAACCGTATATTTCCCCTTTAACATCAACAAAGCTCTGAGTCTTCTCTCTTCATGGCAAAAAAATGTCAGTTCCTGTAAATTCCTGGGCCTCCTTGTATGCACTGCACATTTGTGATCTCCCCGGATAGGCTTAAGTAATTTATCATTTGAAAATATATAAAAAAAAAACTCTATATGGCTTCAAGAAGGTCAGACCTTTCAGTAATGACTTTGCATGTTCTCCCCGTGTCTGTGTAGGTTTCCTCTGGGGGCTCCGGTTTCCCCTACCACTAAAAACATATGCAATAGGTCTAACATTCATCTCCTGTTGGCGATGAATTCTGAATATATTCTCCAGTAGGGAATATATTTATACATATAAATAAATATATTCCCAACTCTGGGACGAATAAAGGTTTTCCTATCTTCACGCAACCACCAACAAAATACTGGGGTACTATTGTGTGTGTTTCCAAAATATGGCCAAAACAATGAATGTTTTTTACAGACTGGTGTGTAAACTTCCAAACACTTTCTCACATAAAACATGAATGTAGTCTAAACTTTATTATTTCTAATGTTTTTGTCTGCGCCGTTAGAAAATATGTCACTGCAAATCCATCTGACATCAGTGCATTGGTTCTGTGACTCCATAATGAGAGCAGCTGCATGTGTATGTTGCTTCTCTGATTGTAACACTTTATCGTCCATAGAAAGACAATCAAGGTCTTTGTGTCTATTACCACTCGCAGAGATCCCGATTTAGTTGATTTTAGTCGAGCACGGAGTGAAGCTGTAGTCATTTGCATAGTTCAACACACAGACAGACGTGGGTGGGACGATGGGGGGATTTCGAACAGTTTGCATCATGGAGAAGGCAGATGTGTTTGTTACACTGCAGTCAAGGCATTTCTAGCATATGGTCTGCTGTCGGCGCATTTCTGACTCCCAAAACCAGAGAGCTCGAATGTGCCATCTCAGCCTCCACCGAAGTGATGTTCTCAACCAAGTTTAAAAGTCCGCCAACCCCACTTCAATTATGCCAAATCTATTTCTGTAGGTCAGATAGTAAAATGAATCTGTCCTGTCCCTGATAAACCCCTGTTGAAGAAACTTAATTCAGGAAAATTAAATTAAGTTTAATTTTGTCTCGCCCTAAATCACAACAGTAATTATCTCAGAGGACTTTACAAAACCTTTGCCTGAAGCTCCCACTGAAAGATCTCAGCTCCTGTGGACTCACCACCTGCAGGAGGATCAGTGAGGGGCTGGTGCTCTGTGTACTGGGTGGCATCTCTGGCCACCCCCCCAACCCAGAAATGGATTAATGGGAAGAAAATGGATGGATGGATGGACTTTACAAAACCGTAAAATTCACCAACACAGATCAGAGAATCAAACAGTTCAAACACAGGAAATGCAAAGACCTACAAAAACTTATCTATCTACATGTGGACTTCTTATCTACTTATGCCATGTGTCGTATAGTGAAAAGAGGTTAAAACACTCCTGTAAAGATTATTTTCTCATAAATCTCTCTTACTCACCGTTCCAAACCAGAAGCGGAAGTAAATACAGTATAACCAACTACCTATTCATGCCTAAACTTAACCAGCCATTCCCATAGAATAACCCCAACCCACCCTTAACCTTAACCATCTTACTCAGACACATTAAACGTAACCTTCTGCTTCCGTCCCAATTTTCCGAATATGATCTAGTGCCGACTGCCGAGTCTTCTTCTTCTTCTTCTTCTTCAATCCCCCACACACAAGCCTTCCACGTTTTGCCTCCTCTCTGGTTCTGGCTCATCCTCTCGGTTCAGGTTCAGCGGCTCAGTCCTGGAGAGCAGAGCACTCACTGCCACCCAGAGAGCCCTGGAGCAGCTGTTCAGAATTACAGCAGAATCAGCTCCTAATTGATATTCCCAGTTTCCCCAACGCTTCCTAATTGGTGTACCTAGGCCCTGATTGGCTACCTGATTATAATTGATTAGTTGGCTCGGTTTCCCCGGGACACTGAGACTGTAGAAGAATAAGAAGAGAGACGGAGGAGAGGTGTGAGCACAGAACCATGCAGGCAGATAATGCTTCTCCTTAACCCCTCCCTGACCTCCTGCAGATAGCGCTTTATTGGGCGAGATTAGCATAATGTACGGAGCTCTCTGCACCACGCGCTGGTATTTAGTCCAGACCTGATTGAAGATGTAAAGCCAGAACCTGTTTGAACAAATTGGATAATACATTAGTCAGAATTAGAATACTGTATTATGTGTATTTTCAATGTATCAGTGTGTGAGTCCAAGACAAATTTCCTATTGTGGTGTGGACATAATTCATTAATCTTGAATCTTGAGAATTTGTTGCAGTTGCTGTTGAAAAAGCCCCCACTTTTGTTCTTATTAAACGCTCAGTGGAAAAAAACGACACATCTAATTTTGGTTAAACAGATATTGGTTGTATTGACCAACATATCAATCAATCAAAAAAAAAGAAAAAAGGGGTTAACACTTATCCAAAACATGCACCTCTCTGCCACTCATCAAAGAGACAGATAATGTCAAACCAAATAATATCAAAAAGATCAACATAAAACATAGAGTAGAATACATTGGTCCAAATTGGGTCGACACTAGGCAAGACACTTCCCCCACTTTAGGATGAGTATGGTGTGTGTGAGTGGTTGGTGGTGGTGGCACAGGCTTGTTGCCTCTCGTCTGTCAGTGTTTATCACCACTGTGTTTTTAGTGAATGAATAGTGACATGTGAAGCATCTTTGAGTGTCCAAAAAGCGTTGTATAAAACCCATGCATAAAAAAACATTATTATTATTCTCACTGTGGGGCGGCTGCCTTAACGGTGATCATGATGCAGACTTTACTGTGCTTCCCGATCTGTTGCTATGGTGACACCTCTGGCGGCGCGATATGGAGCCTTTAATTTAACATGAGGTTTAAACTGTATTACCCAACAGTAGGTGGATTGGAATCCTCACTGACCCCGATGCACTTTATTTACTTTATTTGGTATGAATGCATTTCTATCATAGACTGATACGTCCTCTGTAAATACCAGCTCAGACAGATGGAATAAAACACATCGACGTTTGGCATAAAACATACATCTGTAGCATAAATGTGTGCATTAGCATTAGCATGATCCACAAGAGCGAGCAGAGCATCAGGCTAAATGAGCTGTAGCTGAATAATCCATCAGAGGAGGAGCAGAGACATTGGGGAGGTGTGGAGGCAATGAGACAGAGAAGGCTAGTATCAAGAGGACTGAGGCTCGGAGGAAAAACTACAACAAATGATGTTAGAGTGGAGAGGACGAAGCTGGATTTATGGACCAGAATGCACTTTGCTCACAGTTATATTAAAGCTGGGGTTGGCAAATTGTAAACCCCCAAACATTGAACTAGTGGTATGTACAGTCCTGATCTAAAACCTCTTTATCAGTTTTTATGTGTTGTTTGTCCTCAGCTGTTTCAGTCAGGAAAGAGAAAACAAGAGGACAGCCCCCACATGGTTAGCTCAAAGCAAGGCAAGGACAATGTATTTGTATAGCACAGTTTACACTCAAAGCATTGAACAAAACAAGATAAAAACAATCACACAAGGCAGGGCCTGGTTAGTACTGGGATGGGAGACCTCTGGGCACAGGTTTGGTTTGAAACTTGGTGGAGACATTCACTGGTGTGTGAGACTACCCTCAATTATTATTTCAATACAAAACATAAACACTCAACCACACTCCCAGAGTAGCCGCTCCCAAACACAGCAAAGACTACAACTCCCAGCATGCCCAGCGCTGATTGCGTCTGCGTGATGCGTGCCTCCCACATGTGCCAGCACAGAACAGAACAAGAGCCCATCTGTGGCACACACAGAGCATTCCACTCATAATATCTCAGCTGCCACCAGTGCAATCATCTACCACACCCTCTACCACACCCTCTACCACACCCTCTACCACACCATCTACCACACCCTCTACCACACCCTCTACCACACCATCTACCACACCCTCTACCACACCCTCTACCACACCCTCTACCACACCCTCTACCACACCATCTACCACACCATCTACCACACCCTCTACCACACTGTCTACCACACCCTCCACCACACCCTCCACCACACCATCTACCACACCCTCCACCACACCCTCTACCACACCCTCCACCACACCCTCTACCACACCCTCTACCACACCCTCTACCACACCCTCTACCACACCGTCTACCACACCGTCTAACACCGTCTACCACACCCTCTACCACACTGTCTACCACACCCTCTACCACACCCTCTACCACACCATCTACCACACCCTCTACCACACCCTCTACCACACCCTCCACCACACCCTCTACCACACTGTCTACCACACCCTCCACCACACCCTCCACCACACCCTCCACCACACCCTCTACCACACCCTCTACCACACCCTCTACCACACCCTCTACCACACCCTCTACCACACGCTCCACCACACCCTCTACCACACCCTCTACCACACCCTCTACCACACCCTCTACCACACCCTCTACTACACCCTCTACCACACCCTCTACCACACCCTCTACCACACCATCTACCACTCCCTCTACCACACCCTCTACTACACCCTCTACCACACCCTCTACCACACCCTCTACCACACCATCTACCACACTGTCTACCACACCCTCCACCACACCCTCTACCACTCCCTCTACCACACCCTCTACTACACCCTCTACCACCACCCTCTACCACACCCTCTACCACACCCTCTACCACACTGTCTACCACACCCTCTACCACTCCCTCTACCACACCCTCTACTACACCCTCTACCACACCCTCTACCACACCCTCTACCACACCATCTACCACACTGTCTACCACACCCTCTACCACACCCTCTACCACACTGTCTACCACACCCTCTACCACACCCTCTACCACACCCTCTACCACACCATCCACCACACCCTCTACCACACCCTCCACCACACCCTCTACCACACCCTCTACCACACCCTCTACCACACCATCTACCACACCCTCTACCACTCCATCTACCACACCCTCTACCACACCCTCTACCACACCATCTACCACACCCTCTACCACTCCATCTACCACACCCTCTACCACACCCTCTACCACACTGTCTACCACACCCTCTACCACATATCTACCACACCCTCTACCACACCATCTACCACACCCTCTACCACACCCTCTACCACACTGTCTACCACACCCTCTACCACATATCTACCACACCCTCTACCACACCCTCCACCACACCCTCTACCACACCATCTAACCCTGTACATCTGTGACTGTCCACAGTAGGTTATGGCGGGTGCACTGGCTGCTGTGTGCGCTTCCACACTACATGCTTCACCAGTATCACAAAGTGAAACAAATGAGACGAGCCACACGCACAAACATCTTCCCTCCTAAACGACGCAGGGCCGTTGGTGGACTACCACAATACTACGCTGGGCTGATGTTTGTGAGATCAGTAAATACCAAAGGACAGAAGAAGAGCAAAACAAGCTCCAGACTCTCATCACTTGCGCGTGTCCACTGCTAACAATATGTCCATATTCTACAATAACGTTCCCTCTCAAACACGAGTCTATTCTGTCTGCCACACAGAGGTTACAGTCAGAGAAGCGCATATATTTTGGATAGTAAGAGCACTGTACGTATTTTTCAGCCTCTGTGTGAGCCCGTCGGAGCTCCTCGGAACGCTGACAGATTAGAACATGTAAACAGTGTTGAACGTTGATTAGATCCACAACACATTTCTCTGATTGCTCACATGCTACTACGCCCAGGGAAAGATCACGTTTCACACTGGCATGGCTTCACTGACCGGTTTTGCCAGTCGGACTTTACTTTTAGAAAGAAAACAGTAGCAGTACGTGTAGGGTTTAGCGCCAGGCTATATTATTAACAAGTGCATGTGAGGAAGACAGAAAATCACTGCAGAGAGGAACGGGTCCCATGCTGCTGCTGCTGCTGCTGCTGCTGCTCTAGAGTCGAGGAGGCGCCGCAGCGTATGGAGACAGTGGATGTGGTCAGGACCGTCCGGGAAATCATGTCATATTTGGTGGGGACATTTTTCTCCTCGGTAAATATTGGTTGGGACATGTCCCCATGCAAACCTACGCCCTTGGGTGTGTGTTTGAATGGTTGGTGGTGGTGGGAGGGGCTGATGGCACACACTGGTTGCCTCGCTTCTGTCAGTGTGCCCGGGCAGCTGTGGCTACAGTAGTAGTTTGTCACCACTGTGTATAGAGTGAAAGAATAAAAACATGTGAAGCGTCTTCAAGAGTCCTGAAACACACTATTCCTAGACCTCTCTCCCGCTATTTATTATGAAAAAATCTCTTGGTTTCACATTATTCATCATAGTTTCACTGGAACAACTTCAGGAGCAGTGAGTTGTGTTGTGCAGCTCTTGGGATCCAGCTCCAGATGTTGAGCTCTGTGATGATTTCCTGTGGCACATTATTAGACTGAAACCAGGCGACAGACTACGGGCTAAAGTAGTTTGTCTTTTGGCAAGACACTTTTCTCACTTTAATTTGATATTTATTCATTTGTGAAGTGTGAAAAAGCACATTAATGAACATTTCTGTGCAAGATGTGGAAATGCTTTCAAAGACATACATTAGTAAATAAAAGATTAGTAAAAGTTGCATAAACATCTACAGCACATATGAGACAAAGATATGATTTTAACATATTGAGACAAACGGAACTATGGGATTATTGTATTTATTTATTTATTTGTTCCTTCCAAGCTTAAAACAGTACACATTTGTACACGCCACAATCATCCAAATGCACAATGGTGCACCAGTGGACAGACCACAAACACACAACCCACATCACTAATGCACCCGTGCACAAATAAACAAGCTTTACATATTCGCATAGCCATTATACATAGTTATTATACACAATTTGTTCTGTGAGCTCGAAATGGAGTAGGAAGATTCATTATCAACATTATCAGAATGAGCCAGTTCCAGGAGACTTCCCACAGTGTTCTGTGGGAGTTCTTGTAAAAGTGTGGTGTGCTGTTCCCACTGTGACGGTCTCAGAGAGAACAGACACAGTCCTTCTATAGGTCCCTCCTCTGGACACTGACCCTGGAGCTGCAGACTCACATTTCTATGTGACTCATTGGTGGAGGTGAGAGAATAAGAAATATTTGTTTTGGAAATTCTCATACAAACCCACAGTTTCTAGAATAGGATATTAGGTTGATTTGCTATTTTCCAAGGAGATTTTAGTAGTTTAGGAAGCTCCATCTTGTCTTCTTAGTAAAATAAAAGGTATTGGGTTCAGCAATGTTATTACCTTGACATGTTTTGATAGATACTTCCGTCTTCCTCAGAAGCGTCTTGCAACGTCACTCAGTCAGCCCGGTAAACCACATAGGTTGGCTGGGTTGACTGCGCCTAGCCGTCAAAACATCTCAAGGTTATAACATTGCTAACCTACTATTGTCTGGTATAGAAGAACCAAATAACCTTATTTAAATTTTCCAAAATATATTTCTGAAAGTTGTGCATGCTACATTGTATGGAGTTCATGCAAAAATCAATGGTATTATCAGTATTTTCTCACTACATTGATTTACACACATGTATATTTCCAATACCAATTGTTTCAAAATAACTAAAATTCAGTCTGTTGCTTTGTTCTGTATTATTATTAGTTTATTTGACAGGGACATTACACATTAATGAACATTTCTGTAAATGTGTCAGCATTAGCTGCAAAGCTAGTTTTCAGCTGCTGTCCCTGGGCAAGGTGTATAATGCCAACAACAATTATAAAACAAAACAGTTTAAAAACTGAGGCTACATACTCACATAACAAATGTTGATATAATTCATACATTGATAAAATCAGAATGTTCGTTCTATAACTTTCACGATAGAAAGGGGATTTTTGTGCAAGGGCAGGTCATACAGTTCAAACAAAAGACATTATAAGGATAAATGTGTAGTTTTTTACAAGAAAACACCTGTGCAGAGGATCCTGATACTTGGATCAGTCCTGTACCAAGAGTTCTGTGTAGGGTCTAATGAGCAGTAATGATTGGATTTCAACCAGTTTCTTAATTGAGTCCTAAATGTGTTCAAGGTTTGTATCTGTATCTCTTGTCTGTTCTGTCTGCCATGCCAGTACATCCAAAATCCTATTTGGAGATCAACTGAAAGCACAAAGTCTGCATCGTATCAAAGATCTAAAGTGAATAGAATGAAGTGAGTACAGTGCGTCTTTCATACCTGTTAGTGTTTGTTAGAGTTTGTGTGCTTCCTGCGGCTTTTACTCAGTCTGGCGTTGTAATCCACTTTGAGGCGTGACGCGATACAAGACGAGCGCCCTGCCACCTGAGGGCTCACTGTAACTGAAGAAAATAGAAATTCCCAAGTGTAAGGTTTTGAATTCTGAAATAAAAGGCAGCAATATTGACACTCAAACACAATAGCAGAAGAAAACATGACTTTGTGTGTTTTGTTGATACTGACCCTGATCCTCGTTACTCCACATTACATTATACTCTCTGGTCTCTCTCTCTGGTGAATATGATACTCAGATCTACTCTATGCCTCACCGGATGCAAAACTCTTCTGAAATGTTTGTGTTTGGTCTCCAGAAGCAAAGAGATCTCCAACCTTCATATCAGGGAATCTGGGGTCTATAATGGTTCTAGGCGTTCATGAGTTAAAACGCCACATCAATCAGTAACATCAGCAACTTTTACCACACTAAAAATGTGTCTACAGCAGATGTGGAGATCCTTGTGCTATACAAAAAAACTTGCTTTGCCTTCTAAATACAGCTCCTTCAACTTTCAAGCTTTGGCAATTGTTTGGAGTTCACTCCCCAAGCTTTCGTATCAGCATTTGAGCAAAACAGAATGTGAAATTGGAAAAAAATTATACACTGATGTACATGTGTATTGTGGCAATACCTGCAGGTGAAAGCCAGATCCTGTCAGACTTCTGAAACTAAGCAGGGTAGGACCTGGTTAGCACTGTGATGTGAGACCTCTGGGAAAGCCAAGTGGGCTTTAAAGTGCCAAACTGTAGTTGTGTCCTTAGGCAAGACATTTCACCCACAGTAGAATGCGTCTGGTGTGTGTGAATAGTTGGTGGAGGTGAAAAGGGCCGATGGCACATAAACTATTGTAGTAGTTTATCACCACTATGTTTGGAGTGCATGAATATGAACATATGAAGTGAAAATGAGTGAGAATGCTATTTAATATCAATTTATTATCATTATTATTGCATTAATTTAACAGTTTATTCTATGGCTTTAGCTGGTATTACATTGAGTAAATCTGACACTGTTTTCATCTTTCTGTATACAAATTTCAAAGCCTTGTTTGCGATGCTTCTGTTCCCTTCTCCCGACTGCTCCCATTGTACTCTACTATCTGTGCTCTCCATTACTCTCAGCTCCTCTCCAGTGACCAAACCTCATCACCACCATTTTCTCCGTCCTGTTTGTCATTTTTCTTCTTCGTATCATCCGTTAAACTCAGGGCTTTGTGTGTGAGGCCTGGTGGGTTCCTCGCGCCCCACGGCCTCTGGGCTCATTCATAATAAATACGTGGAGCGGCCCAGAGGAAACCACTTATACGGCTTCTCTATCGGAGCAGAGGGATGCTTCTGTGGAGTGTGTTGTTTATTAGTCAAATTAATGAATAATTCAAGCTGACTGCATTACATACATTTTCTGTTCCTGTTTTTGATAAGCTGTTTGGTCTCAAAAACCGTGTATGCATTGTAAAATACAATAAGGTAAATAGGCAATGAAAGAAACCAATGTACAGATGTATACATACAACTATGTCTTGTCTTGCACTATAGGGCTGGTGCTCTGTGAATTGGATGACCCAGAAATGGTTTAAGGGGAAGAAGATGGATGGATGGTAGTGTTGTACTATAATATACAGTACTTTACACTTGCTTCTTTGTTATGCTTAATTTAGAGATGTTATACTTGCTTCTTTATCATGCCAAAGTAATGTTTTTTTTCCTTTATCTTGTGCTGTGTGCTCCTCATCCCTACTGTTCTGTAACTGGTGATGCAACACTAACATTTCTCCACTGTGTTACGTGTGGGGGATGAACAATCTTTTTTATATATTAGAGTATCCACAATAGCTCCACTGAGACATAGTATTTGGAAAGAAATCACAAATCTAAATCTTAAACAACTAATCCTCACTGCCCTCATCATCTACGGCCTCAGTTACCGGTGATGTACTACAGTAGCCACAGCTGCCCTGGAGGACACT